ATATATAGCGGGTTATGAAGTGCTTGTGTGTTGTATATGCAACATTGTAAGTTGTAAATTTTCAATATCTATGAATATTAGGACTAACTTGGTCATACTACCTGGCAAAAGCAGGCCCAACACTGCCAGCATTGTGTGAAGAGCTGCAAGAGATGTCCTCGTCAGGAATATCTCCAGACATCATGCCAAGCGTCACATTACATGATTCTGCAAGGAGTCAACAGGAAACAAATTTACATACGGGTTCTTTTACTATACGTTACCTCCGTGTACTCGCGGCTCACCTCCTTTACTGAATCGTATAAATGAAGGTCACTGAGTGAATAGGCTACAGTAGCTTTGGTAACAAGTTACGAAAATAGAAAAATATAAAGAATAACCTACGTGATCCCTTTCAATTAACTATTATTAGTTAATCAATGTATCGTCAAAATAACTTGTTTTGAGACGGGTCCAGTAGTTAACTTTAAATATTTTAATTTGGCATTTTCGTTGATATTACAGCAAGTTTTTAGGATGAAATGGAAAAATTCAAGCTGGATTTTCCACCCCGCCATAATGTTAGCAAACAAATATGCCCGAGCTAGCTAATATCGCCAAGCATGCACATTGGTGGTAGCTACGCTGGATAGAGAAATTACACAGTCGCGACTCACATACTTGTGCCTAACAAAAGATTGACTTTAGAGTACGGGTTACTCTCAAAATAATAATGATTTTCCTTTAATATGAATATATTTCGAATCTAAATTGATTGGTCATTTGTTTAAACGTGTATAAAATATCTTTGTTATGTTTTCAGTGTTCTACATCGGGTAGTTTTCTTAATTAATAGTTAATTAAATAAAGCTGAAAATTGGTTTAATTTCAAGATTAAACCTTTGATTCAGAGACAATCCTATTATTTTTCTTTTGTCGTAAAGCTTCGTTGGAGATAGTTACAGATTCGTTGTTGTTTTTGGAAATGCTAGCTCTTCGTTAATTGCTGACTAGAGTCATTGCAGCAATGAAACAACACTCTTTTTATGAATGAAACAACACAATTTAAAGTTTTATCGTAGAATAGGGTCCACAAAAAAGGGCAACATTGGAACTTATAAAAAGCAGGATGTGGGTACCCTTGGCAGCATTGGTTGTACTTAACGCGTTCGTCCTGGTCCTGACAGGTTCTGCTCGATGGCGGATTCGCAGCTGACCCGGCCACGGTGGCCACATAAATTCTGTAATTTACTTATATCATTGCCACATTTTCCCTGAAGTCGGGTGACATTTATCGGGGTGGAGTAACGTTTCGACGTCACAAGTTAGCCTGTGTAAGTAACTTTGCCTGCTCATGGTTTTGGCTTAGTTTCTTGTTTGCCCTACGCAGCGCAATAGGCGTCTAAATTATACCCCACCTGTGTATATCGAAGCCAGTGACGTTTAAGAGGTATTAGATTGGCTGGATGTTATAGCTCTTTGTCTATGTCGAATGAAGGAACTCGGTACAATTGTTGCTACTGTCAAACAACCTATCTCTGTAGAGGGCCGATACTTTTGTTTTTTTTTTTTTGCTGCGGAAAGTAGTAGGATTACCTGGCGCGGTATAGGCGGCAAAATGCCAACGTCATCACTGTAATATAAGGTGGGGTGGTCGTACGCCTATGATTTATTGGCGTTAAATGCAAACGGACGATTTCCGAGCAGGTCGAAAACGAAGTTTCTACGAGACCCTCAGTTGCTCCTTCCTCTGATGTTGGGTCCCTTGATGCCACTTACAATACATTTCCGCACTTACAAAGCCACAACAAAAGCAAGAAATAGGCCTTTGTTTTTCTCAGGCAGGAGGGCCACGACTATGGTAAGGCTGGCTGTCTAAGGTGGCCAGTAGAAACGAAGGACCGGGGACAGGTTGCGAGGCCAAAGCGATTCCGCTGGGAGGTGGCAGACAACCAGCCAGAGAGGAATGGTTCTATTATTTACATTGCAGCTGCTACAAAGGTTGAAGGTTACGTAAGGTAAGTGATATACTTTTGCATCTGCGGGTATAAAGGCAGACGCATGACTATATGTGGAACTTTGTAGAGCAAAGGAATTATAAACTACTTATTATGTTGGCCAATTAAGGTAACTAGTTAACCTTAGAAAGGGCTAGTGTGATTTAATGTATTTACCTCAATATACTGTGACGCTAAGTAAATCTTTTTCGCATTGAACAAAGCCTAGGACAGCATACTTTCAGTTGGCGGTCAATTCTAACATGTTTGGCTGTCACAGACAGCAGTAACGGGATTAGTCAAGGCATAAGATATTTAAACATACTTAAATTACCGCTGATATTTATGTTTGTGAAACAAAAAGTATTCGTGTGGAAGTATGAATTATACGCGCATCATGCAAGGGAAGAATGAAAAGGCCTATGTTCACTTTAAGCGGGTTTTCACAGAATGCTAGAAAAAGCTTCCGGTTCAAACTCCGCCTCTACGGAATTTATCTGAATGATCAAAGCCAAAAATGCTTATTTCCAGTGTGAACGTAAGAAATCCACAGTGGCGTTAAAAAAAAAAAGTGGTATTATTACAAATGCTCATTGCGATGATTGACGGAAAACCGTAAAAGGCTCGCTGTATCAGTAACTCGTCAGGTGCTTTGAATTAAACTTCAGTGAGGAAAATCTATCGCTGCAGCGATAGACACTTTGAGCTACGGATGTTCGCCAGATATGAGCATCATATGATGGTATCATTTTAGTATCCCTCAATACGTAGCGTTTGCATTGGGGCGGCTATGTGCCTCTCGACTTAAATCGAATGTCTATATTGAGGCTCACTAATATTAATTTGTACAAACGTTAACACGTAATGATGCTAAAACAGGACGAGATAGAAACACTGCAACAACATAAACCCGGACATCTGAACAGGCACGCACAGGGCTCACCTAAGAAAATCTCTTGTTTTAGTTGCGAAACGTGTGTTCATATATGATTTACTGAATAAATGTAAATGCGTATGAATCCGTGTATGAGACTATCGCATACAAATGCTGTTCAATGTTATTTGGACGGATGTTAGATCGATATTTAAGTGGAAGATTGGAATGCTACCAGCTGACTGAAGGACTTTTCCTTGAACGAAGGAGTGGCAACTACGGCGGTTGTACGGTTGTAAAAAACGAAAATGTGTTGTTTTTTGCCTTGTCGTGGTATTACACTAATCATATCCGTTAGAGATACGCCTGTAAGGACCATGCGAAACGACTGTTCTATTAAAGAGCACTGGTTAATAATAATAGCAATAATACTATTAAAGAGCCTAATCAAAGGGCAGGAAGATCCAGCTGTACAAGTCTACGAAATGCGGCAGCATCCCATAGGGTAATAACAATATCAAAGAATATTTATACAACTATAACAGGCGGACATAGGAAATACACGTTTACAATAGCTCCTGTGAGGCAGCGGTTGTCACCCGCGCACGATTACTGAGGAACATGATGACCGCTGATAATGGAGTGAAGCGTGTACATGTGCTCAAAGTGTCAGATGTTGCACACATAAGCTTTTAAAAAGCATGCGCTCAGTGACGAAAATATCGAGGTCGTGGCAAAACGAGTAAAAAATCTAATGGTGGGTAACGAGCGTAGGGATGAAATGCCCAGAGGGGAAAGTAGAATGCATTACAGAGAACTGAGAAACGTGTACCGTAGGCCCTAAGAAAACCTTCCTAAGAAATCTTAGAAACGTACGCTGTAATCCGATGAATATTACTGGAGGATCTAGACAAAAAAGGTGTGTGTATCTGCAAAAAGCAGTAAACATTTAATTTCGAAGAGGCGTTGGCAAGACCCGGAAACCTAGCAAGAAGGAACGGCGCTAATCGTGGTACAATGCGTTGACGGTAGCAATACGAATGGTAGACACCAAGAACGCTTTACTCAAATCGCACCTAAATATATACACATGTAATCAAAGCATTGGACTTAAATAGGTCTTTTTGTTCCTTGATAACGGTAAAATTAGATCGAGGTGAAATCTGATTTTATCGCAGTTTATTTAGTTATTTCTGTAGGGTTACGCTCAACTATTTTATTTCTTTCTCTAAAAACGATCCGTTTGTGTCCATGTAACTTTATTATATTTATATGTCTGCTGGCATTACTTTTACTATCATCGTTTACTAGCGTGGTGGAACGTGATAATGCAGTAATTATAAGCACAATTACAGATTTTATACACTGGCATAGAAATAATATTTACGTATTGAAAGGTTTCATATAGTAAAAGTCGTCAAAGTTCCAGGACAGACTCTTCAGTAAAGGCAATGAATGGCCACTGTAAGAGTATGAACTAGCTGATTCGACGTACGCTTAAGAAATTCCAATACGTTTCAAAGTTTGCTGTCAAAGTATCGAGCTTTTGTGTGTAAACGCCTGTATACCATACAATGTCATGGATCCGATAAAATTGGTCGTTTATTCGTGTTCAAGCTGACAAAAAAAAAAAGTAACATAACGTTAGTCTTGATTATAGCAGTAAATAAAGGTCCTGTAAGTAGCCCCGCTCTTATATAAAGAGGTACATGCTGTTACTTAGCCGTCTCTTTAAAAAAAGTATGCATATGAATGAGGCAGGACTATCAGATGCATGAACTTGATTCAAACCACTAGCGTAGTTGTATCTCAACGCAAAAAGACGTATGATTACATAACCCGTGTCTATCAAAATCAAGGGAACAGATCGCGCCGCATTTTACCTCTAGATGTAGCGCGGATACAACTTCTCGCAAGGTACTCGAACTGCACCCGGGTACTGTTTATAGACAGTCCTTGAATAATTATCGAATAGAACATTTCAGTCGATTAACTACAATGAACTATGTGAACTTATTTCGAAGCCTGAGGAAAATTGCTTGCATCATGCTGTCCTATTTGTTGTAGGTTCTGTAGTAAAAGCAATACAGAAAAGATATTACATCTTACTCAGGTCTAGGTCCAGATAATTGACTCGTAGCATGACAAACACAAAGCGCCTTTCTATTCATCTAATATTTAACCGACCTGCATTTGAGCCATAAACCCCGTAATGCTCTGGTCTTTCCAAAAGGACCGCTTTTTTTTTGAAAATGTTACTTTATATGCATTTGCGTATACAGCAGAACGTACCTGAGAATCAAAGATCCACCTTTTAACTAGTTCACTGAGTCTGATTGGTCTGAATCGACGTGCCA